TGCTCCACTGTCTGTCTGAATTTGTGGCAAAAATTGAAAATCATATGCTCATTGTCATCGTGCCCCTGCCCCAGCTAGCAGCCCCTTATTGGCGTTTTATGCGCCCGTTAAGTGCCCAAAAAAAAAAAAAAACGAGGAGGAACGTTGTGTTACTTGGGAGCATGGGTTCACCCCCCCCCCCCCGTTAGGCACAGGGAATTTCTTTCTTTAATCACGTGACCTGTGCTAGATTTATGCTATAAATCAGAGAATCTTTGAGATGCGATGTCAAAGTAGAAACTGGAATTCATCCTCTTAAGTGGGAAGCCTTAATCAAAAATATTTCCTCAAAATTCGATTAGAAAAGTCAAATATTGATCCAAGTCCATTTTTAGGACAAAAAAAAAGAACAACTCCTATCGGTACTAGCAATCCCCCCTCTGCCCTGTCATTATTTCTCCAAGGTTTTTCCTGTTTTTCCAAAAAAAAGAAAACATAATTTCCTGTAAAAAAACAAACAACAACAAAGGAAGGAAATTTGTTATGTGGAAGCCAGCAAAAGTTGCACAAAATTGCCAAAGTTCTGTGTGTTTTCTGTGTGTTTGTGTGTTTTGTTTGCTTATGCATTTGCATCACAGCCCCCTGGCACATGCACACACAACCCACTTCACCTCTGCTCCCTAATTCTGGGTAGGATATAAAATTATGTCAGCAGGACTAGACTTTGGGGGAGGGGTGGGCGGGGTTGAGCGTGTAAATTATTTATGTGCCAACTGTCCTTACCCAATATTCCTGCTGCTGCTGCTGTTGCTCCCTCCTGCTGTTGCCTGCGCCGCTTGTGGCACGCATGACTTGGGCTCCCCCTTTGAGGCAGTTTATAAATAAAAATCATTATTACTCCCACTGCAGCCCCGCACACCCCTCATGGAGGTCATAAAGTGATGTATGAAATTGTGAGGTTCTCCATCCTTAAAGTCAAGGAAAAGACCATCGCTGGAAGATCTTCCAACTGCAGAAAGTCAGTACCTGTAGCTTAAGTATATGTACATATGTACAACATTTATGCACATTCACTGGATGATAGTTTATTGCTCCACAGCTGCACATGATCATCGTCATAAGTTTGTTGCGAAAAATACTTTCAAAAAGTTCTTCCAGGTAATATCAATGCGTCTTCGGTTCAACACAAAGTTCCCATCGAAATAGTGAACCATATTTTGGCTTGAAAGGGTACCTAATATTCGGCTCGATGTCTCTTTGCTTCATTTTGATTCAAAATATATTTTTTGTAATTATTTTTCCCCATTTCTGTACCCCTGTTTTGCGCTGAAGTTTTCGTTTGAAATTAGTACGCATTGTCCTTAATTGTTGGGGCGTTTTTTTCGTTGGCTGAAAAGCGGAGACCCTCACATTTTATGGGTTTTTTTTTGTTTAGGGGTATGGAGGGGAGGAATATCGTATGAGGGTTTTTTCGGGCTTTCGGGCTTTTGGTTGGTTCCCTGCTGCGTGTTTATTTATTTGACTTGTGCATGTCGCTTTTGGGTGTTAACTTAAATAATTAACGGCATTAATTGCCGCATATGTCACATGTTTGCTTTTGTGCCCCCATATACTCCCACATCTGCCCTCTCCAGCCCACTCTTGGGACGGCCTGCAGTTTTGTGTCTGCTTCGCATTCGGTCCTTATGGTCCCCTCTCATAGTTAAACGCTTATGTCATTGGAGTTTCCCTTAGCAGTTTTGAGCAGTTTTTCCTCTCTTCCTTTGCTTTTCCCTGTGCCTATTCTAGGCTTTTCAATTGCATTATTAATCAAACGTCAAGTTTGTCTGTTTGCTTGCTGTTAATTTAGAAGGCGTATTCGTATTGGTATTTTCATGAAAATGTGCTGGAAAAGGGTTGACATAAGGGCTAGTTCTAAGACGAAACACCAGAGCGTGTCTGCTGTGCTTTTGGAAGTGAAATCTAGCAAATGGAAATGTTAAGTTTTAAAAGAGTTTCAAACATGCCCCAAAAATCGATTATTTTTCACTATTTTATCCTCAGAAATGGGCTCTGAAGTTGTATCAAAGAATTGTGCATCCATTTCTCAAGTTCCCATTCAAAATTTGCCTTTGCCATTTCGACTTCAAGCTTTCCTTTCAGGTAAAACCTCTCTCTTTTTCTCCCTTCCCCAGCGACCACCCACACAGGAAAATCGGTTTTTTATTCGATGCTTTTCTTTTTCTGTGTTCCACGAGTGGAGTTGGGAGGTTCATTAGAGAACCGGTAATGCCCCCCATGGCGTCTTGAAAAATGTTTTGTTTATCATTTGAATACGTTTTTGGAGTTGATATTTCAAATGTTTTTTTTTGTGTGTCTCTAATGAGAACTAATGAATGCGTTGGAGGCTTTGGCTTTGGCTTTGGCTTCGGATTTGGATTTGGGCTGTTGGACTTTGCCACCGGTTTTCCCACACACAAGCAAATGCACACATCGAGAGAAGGTCTCGAAACTGGTCTGGTTTCGATCTGCTCTGGTTCGTTTTTTGAATGACAAATGCATTCAACATTCGGGGGATCAGAGATCTGTCTGAGAGATCTAATCAGTCAGCTAACTAATGGGCTCTTAAATGCGATGACAATAAATTGATTCCACGATTAGAGGAATGGAATTTGTGTGTTTATAATGCAATTAGAAGTCATTAAGATCGATAGATAAGAGAAGATGCCCGAAAATTGAGATATTTTTATGATATGGATATAGCTACAAAATTGAGATGCTAAATGGGGAACTGTTCAGGAGGGTAACTGTCCTTACATGATTCTTGGACTGGTATTAAACGGTTTTTATTATGTTTTTTTCATTCCTATATTTTCCTTGCATTGGCGGAAGCTTTTGTTCCCATTTCCTGACTTTCCTTCAGTCTCTAGCCCACTTGTCGCTGGGAAAACTTCCTAAAATGTTGTTTCTTGTTCTCTTGGTTATTTTTTTCGCATTTTGTGGCTTCTGTAAAGTGTTTTCCCACACAAAGAGAGAGAGAGAGAGAAAGAGAGAGTGCGGGAAAACGCTTAAGGCGCTTATGGAAAAGTTCAAAAATCTCATTAAATACAACAATATACTAAATATTTATGTGGCTTGTGTTGTACATACAAAAAATAAAATAAATTTTTTTTTTATTGTTGCTGTGCGTTGTTTTCGCTTCGTTTCGATTCGATCCATGGCCGGGGTTCGGTTCGCCTCTCCCGTTCTGCTCCTTTCGCTTCCATTCTTTTGCCTTTTCCATATAAAAATTGTGTAAACTAATAAAAATAATTGCCAACGACAATACAGGACACACGCATGCAGCAACACATTGTCGCCCCAGACACCATTTTGCCTTTTGTTGTTGCGTGCAATGGATGCCGTCATGCACAGAAGGAGGGGCGCTGCTGCTCAGCGACAGTGGAAGAGAGAGAGAGAGAGAGAGAGAGACAGAGAGGGAGAGAACATAAATGGGAATCGGGATCGAGCAGGAGGATTGAGTGCGAACTTTGAGTGCGGGAGTGGAGCGGGTGATTGGAATTGTGTTTGGGGGATTCTCCTTTTTGCATTACTTCGACTGGAATGCGCTTTGTGCTGCAATACCCAATGCATACATAGACACCAACACATCTCCCTTTGTCTCTGTGTGTGTGTCTCTGTCAGCCCTTGTGGAATAAATATAATTATTTTGTTATAAAAATGCAGGAGTCTCCCTCCTTTTATGCGGCACTTTTCCTTAAGCATTTCTTTGCACATGAACAAATGTTTATTAACCCAGACATGACCCTGTTTGGTCCTTCCCTCCGAAAGGTCTCCCCTTGGACACCCCTTCTATGAGATTGTAATAAATATTAGTTGGCGCCTGGCCACTGGAATTGGTGATTTCTCCTTGAATTTTTATGGAATAAGAAACAGAAGCAGATGGGTTATACATTGAGGACTCTTTTTGTGTATTCGCTATGCTGCCGTTGAGAGAATATGGAAAAAGGCAGCTAAAGATGGATGCTTTCTAGACATTCCATGGTTGGATTGTAGCACATTTACTCCTGATTCGCTAAGTCGAAAGCTTGCATAATAAATGCTTTAATTATACCCGGTACTAGAAGAGTACACACAGAAGGAAACGTTTCCGACCCCATAAAGTATTTATATTCTTGATCAGCATTAATAGCCGAGTCGATAGAGCCATGTCTGTCTGTCCGTCTATCCGTCCGTCTTGTTGAGCGCCTGGATCTCAGAGACTATAAGAGCTAGAGCCACCAAATTTTGCATCCAGACTTCTGTATGCTCACACTGTTACAAGTGTATTTCAAAAATGAGCCACGCCCCCTTCCGCCCCCCGCAAAAGAGCAAAAAACTCGCAAACCTCTCTACAATTTTGAAGATAAAAGAAAACTAAAAACGCCATTCCGTAGGGAATGACCATATCTATCAGATCACCAAATTGGATCATTATTATAGCCACAATGAAGAAATTCATTTTCAGTGGCTAAACCCACCCCGTCCACTTTCTTTCATTCACACTCTGCTTGTGCTGCCACTGCCTCTGCCACGAGTCTGCAGTGTGTGGCTCTAGGTGAGGGTGGCGAGCTAGAGGAGCGTGTTGTCCTGTGAAGTGTTGTAGATGCAGATGGCAGATGAAGAAAACATGTAAAATTTGACAAGTAACCGCTAAGGTGCAGATGTAGTACTGAGTGCCGGGTATAAAAGTTGTGACGCGTAAGAAGCGTCTCACACGTCCCTTCTCGTTTTTATTTATGTGTGCTTTAAAATTCGGTTTCGTAACCGCTTCACTCATTGCATCATTAGCGTTTCAAAGCATTGATTGATAATCATGTAATCGATCCCTTGACCACCTCATCCCTTTATTTCTATGGCGTACTTTTTCCCCCTCATGTTTTGCCACAGCACAGCAAATTGTGGATTAATTCTCCTAAGCAGCGCCCATCTATTCATAACCCATTGAATACTTTAATTATTCCACCTTACTGATTACGTTCACCCTCTTGTTCTCATTGCAGTTTTTGTTTTAAGTTTGATGAGCCATTAGAGAGGGAAATGTTGTGCGACTCTGCTGCTGAATGAATGAAAGGTAAGTGGCTGCCACCCACCTTTTATGTTAGTCCAGAAGGCAGGCAGGCTGCCTGGCAGGCAACCAAATGTCTGTTCGGACAGCTGTCATTGGCATTTAGATATGAGGCTCGATTCCCACTCCATTCTACCCATACTCCCCACTACCATTCGCCCAGATGGACTCCCTGTAGAGGCCTCCTCCTTGTGTGTGTCCTTTCTTCACGTTCACGTTTCCAGTCAACTGATTATAATAACACGATTTATCAAATGCACGTAAATTACAATAAATTAAACACGAAATTAATATTAATGACAAAGACAGGCACACACACACACACACACACACACAAGTAGAGTGATGGAGAGGGGAGAGACACATTCATAGATGAGAGAAACATCTTCTTCCCTTCTATGAACTCTCTCGCCCCACCCTGGGTCACTCTTTCTGTATGAAGTGCAGAGAGACAATTGCCAAATTAAGTGCACACACACACACACACACACACACACACGCACGCCCCTTCCTTCCAGTCCTCCTGAGTCTCTCCATCCAATGCCATCTTAAATATGAGAATCGTTCTTTTGATTATAAATTTGCTTATTTGCATTGCATTTTCGAAGACCCGCAGTTAATAACCCTCGGACATAATAGTCTCCACCAGATGCAGCTGCAAACACACACTGAGAAACAGATACTTCACAGAGAGAGCCAACAAATGACCAAGCGATTGATCAGGGCAACCTGAAACCTGCCTTGCAGGCAGGCAGGAACGGCAGTAGCAGCCTGCAACAGCAGCAAACGGTTTATGGCTCTCAAGCGATGACTAGAGATGTTCCGTGTGTGAATTTCTGTGATAGTTACGTGATTTTCAGTGAACAAATTGACTCTGTGACACGCTGTAGAAATGTTTCCCCAAGCGAAAGGATAGAAAGAATTGAAGCGGAGAAATTCTTTAGAAATTCTACAGGTTTATTACCATTTCAGGACCAGAAGTTTACGCATTTCCAGATTAAATATCTTATTATTTCTTATCAGTTTCATAGCCGTTTCTCAGCTTGTGCATTCCTCAATATATTTTAGATCCATTTGCCTATATCTTTTGGCTTTCCCTTAAGTAGTTTCGAGGCCGTGCCACTTGCTGGCGCAGTTTTGCCCGAGTGTTTTCTTCAGTGATTCTCCGTCACCGTTTTCATTAGCAGTGTTGTGGCGCCCCTTCCCTAATTGTGATTGTTGCAAGGACTTGCAGAATTTTGCATATTTGATGAGCCTTCCCAGCAATGAGGCAGCAGGCTGGCAGGCAGGCCGACAGGCAGGCCTCTCTATGTGATTTTGTGTTTGTGTTTGTCCAGGGTCTCAGGGTCCTAGTATCCTGGACTCTCCGCGTCGTCGTACCTGGCTTGTTGAGTTGCAATTTGGCTAACAAATTATGCAAGAGGCAGCAACAGTAACAGCAACAGCAGCAACAGAGAGAGGAAGCGAGAGTGAGGAAGAGCTGTGCTGTGCACTACTGACCCAACGAGGCGCCAAACCAGCAGAGAGATAACCCACGACAGGACGGTGGGGACGGGCAGGCGCGTTGACTTTACGGCCCTGTTAAATAATTGTAATTTATGGCATTTTACACAAATAAATATATGGAAATCAATAAATTTTCCACACATACACGCACGCACACACTGGGGAAATCTGCTGCTGCTGCTGCTGCGAGGCTTTTGGTTTTTGGTTTTTGGACATTTGGTGCATTGCAAATTGCTTTGACTCTGACTCCTGCCACTGCCACGCACACACACTTTTGGCTGTCCCAGTTCCAGTTCGAGTTCCTCTCCCTCTCCCTGTCCCTTTTTATTGCTATTTTTGGACTTTAACAATTCTTTTATGTTGTCACAATTTAAAAACGATACAAGAGTGCGGTTGTCGCTAGAGGGGGAGGCGAAGAGGAGGAGGAGGAGGAGGAGACCTTTCAATTCCAGACTGCATTCAAAATTAATTTCCATACGCTTTTCATTTTGTCCATCATTGAATTTTGACTTTTTCCCCCTCAAAATATTTGTATTTATTCACATGTTTTTTTTGCACTCGCAATTCCATGGTCTCCATATTTTGCATTTCAATTGCGGTTTTTTCGGTGGCCAACAGACAGACCGGACAGACAGGACACACTGCCACATAAAAGACTATAATAACTCTTGTCAATTGCGAGAGATTTCATGTGGAACGGATTGGAGGATGCAAACGGATCTCTCTCGCTGGCTTACACTTCAAAGGTTATTCGAATGAGGGATTCGATTGTGCAACGAACACACAAAAAGCGTTGGGGTATTAGCGCGTGTTCTTTACATATTTGAAACTTTAAATGGAGGGACAAGCCAGAATCAGATAATACAGGAAATCCTCTAAACTATTTCTAATATATTTTTGCGATATTAAATTATCTTAAAAGAGTATTACTCGGTACGAGCTTTAATAGGAAACTACCAATTGATGAAACGTATCAAAAATACTCCACAACAATTAATTACATTCAAAAATGTTCTGTTTGAATAACGTTCAAGAAAATTCAAGCGAAGAGAAAGGGAAGAACCTGAACCATAAGAAACATCCTCAAAAACCTGGTAGCGTTTTCCATCAAAAATTCCCATGCTACAAATTATTTGAAAAACGAATTGGAATTCGTTTTCAAGGCAAGTTAAAACTAGTTTTCAATTTGATAGATTTGATCAAAAGCCCTCAAAATTGGTTCGACTCTGAAAAATAGATTCGAGGCTACTGCTGAAATTTCCATTTGCAGAATCTATTCCATGGGATTTTCTGCCCCTTGCCGTGTTTATTTTCCAATGGCTAATTGTTTAAATTGCCTTCTCGTTGAATTTTAATTCAATTTCCCTTTGCATATGGGACCCAAAACTAATAGAAATGCTCCCTGCCCTTTTGGAATATAAACATTTTTATGTTCTTTCGTTTTTTTCTTCTTGGCATATTTTGAAAAATCGAAATTAATTAAATTGTGTCAAAGTTATTAGATTTTATTGCCATTTTGTGCCATAAATAAAACGGAATGAATGTCGTGCGACACACGGGGCTCGGCCTGGCCTGGCCTGTGCTGTGCTGTGCTGTCGCCTCCTCCCTAAGCCTATAAGCAGACATCAAACAGCACAAACGACAACAACGACAATAACTCTTTCTTTCAATTAGAATTTATAGAAATTTATTGAAATTTATGATTTTTTATTTGTAATAATCGTTCGGCTTTCTGTGTTCTGTTGTTTGACAGATTACATGAACTACGTGTATAAATATGGGCTTGTTTCCCTTCCCCCTGCCATCGTTGTTTTTTTTTTTTTCTTCTTTCTCATCGTTAGTCATTCGTTGAGTCGGTTCGGCTCGGGTTCACGTTATGCCCCCGCTGTCGCCGCCTGGTGTGAAAAGTAATTATGGAAGGCTTTATGACAGGCCGGCCGGTCAACTTCATTCAATGTCCATTAATTTGGCCACACTTAACTACGTTTTTTTTACCTCTGCCACATGCCGCACACCACACGCCAGAGGTTGTTTGGGCTGTTCAACTTTGGAAGGTGTTGGTTGTACTTGTGAAAACTTTTCTGATTCTGATTCTTGCAGAAACATGGCACACAGGAACTACAGACTAATACGCTGCCAATAGATGAAATAAATTCTTACAAAGTAGCACCAATAAATCGCATAATTTCCAGGCCTTTGCTTTTGCATTCTCTTTAGAAACTTTTGATTGTGCATCAGGCTGCATGCCGCAGATTGACGAAGAGTAAACCTGAGAGTAAATCCTGATATTTTCATTGAAATTTCCTTGGGATATGTCGTGCCTTTCTCTCTCCCTCGCTCTTCTGTTGGCCTGGTGCTTGTTGCACTCTCTCTTTGTGCCTCTTTCTCCGCAACGTTATTTATTTTCGGTTTTATGTGTTGTCTCAGCTGGACATCGTGTTTTTTTTGTGTTGGTGGGTAGCAAAAGCAAAAACCAGCAAGGGGAAAGGGGAAGAAAAGATTAGGGGGTAACGGTGTGCCGTGGCGTGGCGCGACGTGGAGCCAGGGCGCGTCCCGTCGTCGTTGCCCGGCATTCCAATGCCGTCCGGTCACGTATGATGACCCAAAAAATGTGTGCAAGACCCACACCTCACCTCTAAGTTTTGCCCTATCCCTACTCTTCCCCTCGTCTTTCTCCACTCTCCTCCACTTCCTCCCTCCCTCTTCTTGAACCGCCTTGAGACTGTCCGTCTGGTCTGTCGTCTCCTTTGCGTTTATGCGTTTTGTTTTGTGTATGTTTTTAATAAAATTTATTACACTCTCGCATGACAAACATACCACACAACCCCCATCTTCAACTGCCTCTTGCTCTCTCTCTCTCTCCCTCATATTTGTCTAATAGAAAAATTATGGCCCGAAAGCAAACAAGCAGAGCTCAAAGGTACAGCCGGGTGGGGGCGTTAATTTTTATTATGCGGACGTACTGCTTTTGCCACTGCCTGTCCTGTCGCTCTTTCTCTTTCTACAGACCGCTTTCTTCTTCGTTGGCCCATAATTAGAACATAACAAATTTTATTGAAATTTCTGAGGCGCTTTAATTACGTTTCCATACCGAAGAAGGCAGTGAGCCCAGGGGTGGAGGTTTGGTGGAAACGGCCACAAATGAAATAAAAGTAATAAACATTTATTTTATTAATTTATCATTGCACAAGCACACAGAAACCACACAGACACACTCCGATCACCAGGGGGGGAGACGGCAGCAGAAGGAGTCCACAAACGAGGCTCCGGACTGAAGTGATGTCATTAAAAATGCATACAGCAATCAGGCTAATTTAATTTACCGTAAATTCTATGACCAAAAAACGCACCAACGCCCAAACGCCCACACTGTGCCACATAAAAAACAAACCAAAAGCAAACTACAAATTGACACCGAAAATTTCCAACTCATACAATAATAACAATCGCATTTCAAACAAACAACAACAAAAATATTTAAAACCCAAAACCAAAATTGA